AAAAAAAAAATCTTGGACCCATTGCTTTATGGTATATTATCTGAAAATATCACTATAGTGATTGGATTACGGTATTTTATGTTTTAATCTTTTATTTATGCTTGTTTTTGGTACAGGGTCTCACCATGCAGCTTAGTTCAGCTCTGACTCAGTGATCCTCCTTCTCAGCCTCCCCAGCACTGGGTTTGCAGGCATGTGCCACCACGCCTGTTTTCAGTGACCAGCGTGGCACCCTGGGTTATATGGTACTGGGGATCGAACTCAGGTCCTTGCACTTGCCAGCAGGGACTTAAACTGCTCAGCTATCTCCCTAACCCCTAGATTACTTTAAAATGTAACTAACATACTAGTAAAAACTTTTTTTTATCTAAAGATGCATAATCTGTAGTGTTTACCTTTTAATCTTGATTTGCAGGAAGCACAGAGCTGATGCAGGTACATTGAGCTAGAGCTGTGGCCTTCACAATACTACTGAGAGCTTTGTAAGCTGATGGGCAGGCAAGGAAATCTGCCCTGCCCCAGCTTGCTTAAATTAAGACCTACTCTTAGCAGGTGTAATTACATGAGCTCTACAGATGTCATTGGATAAGAATGCTTCTGTTGTTAAGCAATAAATCATTTCTGCTTGACTTAGTCCACTTGGTTCCTCCTTCTTCAAGGTTCCCATTCTGTTTTCATGTTACTGTGTCGTTTTGTACATGTAGTGGGCCACACTAAGCGATTGCCAGAGCAGGTGGACATGCATTCTGGGAGCATCAGCACCTCCAGGGCCTGCGGGGGCTATCAGGGGTGGGTTCTGCTTGGGCAAATACATACTGGATGCTGAGCCACTCGGGAGAATTCAGGTTCATTTCAAGGTACCTTTAGGCCTTTCTGAGCCTTCACAATGTTTTCTAAAGCTGCATATTGTAATTTTTTTTTTTTTTTTTTTATAGATTTGAAGGTATTTCAAATTCATTAAAGGCTCTCTGTTACAGCCCAGATCTGAAACGCCTCCCAGAAGGCAGCTTGATTCTCAGGGCAGCAACATTCAGAGGTGGGACTTTTAGAAACTTACTACGCTGGGAAGGTGCTAGCCTTGTCAGTAGATGAACCTGTCTGTGAGTTCATAGCTGAACGGCTGCTCGGCGATGGGGCCTGCGTCTGTCTCCCCACCGAGTCTTTTCCTGGGGCCGTCTCAGTGCCTCTTGCTGTGTCCTGGATGCCAGGAGGTGGAAGCCCTTCTGTGGTCTTTTGTGCTGCTGAAGCCTGGAACCGTGCAGCAAAATGAATCTCCTCCTTTAGATTGCTTGTATTAGGTGTTTTGTC